TTATTCATCTTGCTAGAATCACCACTCGAACACCCCGTCTAACTGTCGTAATTCGCAAGAATTGCACGTTAACAATAACAAATATAAGTTATAATAAGTAAATTTTCATGTAAATTAAATTTTGCATTTAAAAAAGAATATATTATATCAAGATATATCTTTATTGATTTCTTGCTGTCAAAAGGTCTATTATAAGCTAATTAAAATAGCATAATTTTTAATATATTTAATAATTATAGGCAATGTATAATTATATGTTTGATAAATAATTTTTGACTAACTTTATATTGGATACTACAAAAAAAGAAACTAATGATACTGTATATATAAATTTTCTAAAAAATTCACTTTGAATAATATTTAATAATATTAAATCTATAATAATACAATTAATTAATAATTATCATAATTCTTGTTGTTTTTGAATCTTTATGTAAACACAATCATTTTTGTAATTGTAGATTGAACCTATTAAAAAAATATACAGTATAATTAGTATTTAATTAATATATTTATAAATTTTATTATAATTATTATTTACTGATTTTTCTTCAATTTTTAACTCTTTTGTTATTTGATGATTTCTAGCAAGATGAATAATAAGATTACCTGTTGAATTCCTATTTGAATATAATCAACTACAAATCTTTTCATATTTATTTTACTATACATTCTGTATCAGTTTTTCCATTATCTAATAATATTGGATTAATTTCTTTTTCTTATCCGTTTATTAGGATTTTGAGATATAGGTGGATTTAAATCTTTTTAATTATTAATACTTAAAGGTGAAATTTGTAATTATTCTTCTAAAAAAGACATTTTTAATGCCGTAATGATAATCTTTATATCACTATTTATAGATAATCTGTTAATTACAGATGATCTGCAATTAATTAATTAATTACAAATTAAACAAATTAAAATATATAAATTTATCGATTCTAGAGAAACGATCTGCGGAGCGCAACTTACTTTTGATTTCTGGCAACCTTTATTTTAGAAAATAAAAATATTAGCATAATTGTAATTATTTTCTGCAAATTGCATGAGATTTTTTTTTGCGCATTGCGCAACAAGCTGATCCGGATAATGCATCAATTTTTTAAAAAAGTTATCCTGATCCGAAATGATGTGTGATCAAAATCTGGTTTCGAACCTTCAGTTCTGCGGCATGATACTTAAAGATATAAAAGGACCAATTCTCAACCAGTGTTAACAAGAAAAAAATAAAACCTTACTCGTAAACTTAATGAAGACCAACGAAATCTTCGAAACAATCTTATTGCTCGTCATTTTCTCTTGCTTAATTTCTCCTTATGTGGATGCAATATGCGACCCGGCCGAAGGCACCGCGAATAATGATGGGAAAGTCACGGACTACTTTACTTCCCGCACCACCTCAAGTCCTGGTGACATTACCTTCAGATTAATTGAGTGAGCGTAACTTCCTTTCCTTTCAGTAATCGTAAACGTCTTAGTATTCAGATACTGACATGTACACATTCACCCATAGAATGCCATGCGGCACGCCATATCTTAAGCTTCACGTTGTGCCTAAGAGTGAGGATCTAACAATGTTTGACTGGTACACGATCACGGATGCCAATCTGAATAGAGACGTAGTCATTGGCACGAATGTTCTAGCTGGTACTACATTCCGTTTGCAGGCTCAGGTTCAGGATGTCAATGATTTTACTTGCTACGAACCCACTTTCCGCGGTCAAATTTGCTATCCCTGAAAGGACAAATTGCCCAATGAAGCATAGTCTGATCTCAGATTTCTTATTATACGTATTATTTGGTTAGGTATATTCGTAATCCAAACATCATTAAACCTTATTATTTTTTGCATTATGATGTAATGTATCGTCCCCTTTTTATATAAAATGCGGAAAAACCAACTTTTCAAATGTGAAACTACTATAATAAAAAAATTCATATCTTAAATACAATGACAACGTATAGTGGTAAAGACATAATTGCTATGACCTTTGCAATTTTTTTACCACCTGGTAAATATTAAAAATTTATGTCGATTTGTATTATAAATTTATTAACTCTTTTTTTAAAAAAAAAGTTGGTGTAATAATGATAAGAGGATGTTCTGAAGATTTAGCAGTTAGTATTCTGTTGACTCTTTTAGGTAATCATCATCATCTCTATTGATAAATTTTTGTTTTATAATTTAATAATTTTGTTTGTTTTTAATATAAAGGATACCTACCGGGGATTTTTCATGCATTATTTACTATTCACAGTTACCATAAAATATAAATTTATAAAATCACACATTAAATAATATTTTATCAATTCGCATATTTATATTTTATTAAAAAAAGAAAACAACAATCAAAGGGGGACATTTAATTTTCTTTATTACCAAATAAATTGTTGTAATTGTAGTTAATCATCATCTTTCAAATTTTGCTGATAAAAAAAAAATATCAAGGACAATAAAAAATTTAGTAAATATACGATGTAATAAAATTGAATTAATTCGAAAGTATGAAATTTACATGCGATTTGTTCCTTGGAGAATATGATTTGCCTCAAATTGCCTCATAATGACGGTCTTGATGGATTACATAGAAGGCATGAAAATCTCCTTAAAGAACAAAGAAAAAATTAATAAATGAATTAAAAGGTATAACGGATACAATGTCATTCCCTTTAATTATATACCTGGAAGCCAACCTTTAAATATGACGTTATAATAAAATAAAATTAGTTCAACATAACGATAATTAATTAATAATAATAAATAATACACGTCTCTCAAATACCAAAAAGTGTCAATATGATATTCAACCTAAACAAAAATATGTAAATAAGGTTTTTAGAATCTTATGGTACCATAAAACACATTTTAATGAAAACGAACCAAAAATTCAAGTCACAACAGCCTCTTTTCAAGAATACGCCCAAAGGTGGAAGCAGAAATGCGGCTATTAAAGCACAAATATCCCAACAATCATATTCGGCCATTTTTTCAAAAAAAAAAAAAAAAAAAAAAAATAAAAAAAAAATAGAGTTTGAAAAATGTTCAAAAGTCTTCCTTGAATGTGTGACAGGTTACGCCGATAATTTCTATATTATGAAAGTGAAATCACGTTTCGATTTTTCAGGAGACTTAGTTTTTTTTGGTTAGGTGTTGGCGCGTAACCTGTTACACATTCAAGTAATCTCTATATTAGGAAAGAGAAATCGCTGTTACACATTAAAGACGTGCTTTATGATAAAACGAACGCGTAATTTTGGCGTTTGATCCGCACTAAATTTATTATAAAAGGGAAGGGGTTTTGACTTCTTTCCTTCCTTTAACATTTAATAAAAAATATGGCCACAAAGTTACCGAACGAAACCTTACAACATATTTTTAATTTTGTCGATGATGCCAAAACCTTATATTCAATTATTCAAGTAAATCGCGCTTGGTGTCAAAATGGAATTAAATTTTTATGGAAAGATCCCTTTCGGAATGATATTAAATTGAAAAATCATATAAAGATCCTTCCTACTTTACTTTCTTTTATAAATTATGATTATATTTTAATTGAAAACGAGAATTTATCAACAAAAAAGGAAGAAATTCAATCGTTATCAGAACCCTTCTCTTTTAATTACCCACGATTGATTACTCATTTGGATTTTCATCATTTAAGTAGGATAGTTTTAAAATCTTTAAAGAAAAGCCAATGCTTTGGACGTTCTAATGAACAAGATTCAAGAGTTAGACCATATTTAATATTTCTCTCACTTATATTTGAAGCGATAGTAAAAGAAAAGGCCAATATTAAATTTCTAAAAATTGATACGAGAAACAAAGATCTTAAAAGATTGAATGATGATGATGATGACAGTGATGAGGAGGACTTTGAAGATGATGTTGAGGAAATGAATGATGAGGATATACTGAGACGATACAAGTTGATCTTTAACTTTGAACGTTGTCTTTCAATGGTTTTAAATATTCCTGCGTCCAAACAATCCCTTGAAAATTTACAATATTTGGAAATTGGTTCGAATATTTTAAAGCTGTCCGTTTTAGAAAATTTATCAAAATTATGCAAAAAATTGAGAACGATTCAAATTCGAGAGGACAATTTTGACGCCATTCAACAATATTTAATATCCCTGATTCGCAATCAATATTATCTCGAAAATTTGATAATATTTGGGAATGGAGTTGCCGTAGGTTCTAATTATGATGCGACCATTTCCAACATCCTCTTGACGGTGCAAGACGTTGCTCACTCGTTAAAGAAGCTTGAAATCGCTGATGTGTTTATGAGAGATAAAGAAGCATTAAAAGCTTTAATTCAATGTAAAAATATATCAACTTTGCATTTTGAGAATTCATTTATTTCACCCGAGAATTTTCAATGGATTGCACTTGCGGAATTACCAAGATTACAAAGTTTGAAATTTACGAGAAATTGGACAGAGGAAACCAATGAAAATCCGATGGCAAAAATCTTCCTTGATAAAAGGAAATCATTTGGTTTAAAAGAACTTTTCCTCAACAATTCTAAGATAGAAAATTTCGGACTGTTAGGTCTCGTTAGTTCCAATTGTCGGAACCTTGTCAGCCTTTCCGTGCTCGTAAAATCAAATGAAGATATCTCGAACATTTCCTCATTTTTAAAAGATACGTCAACCCTGGAAAAACTCGAGTTATCAACGTCCGGTCCGCATACATATGATTTTAACACGGAAACTATAATTGAAATGGCAAAGATTTTGCCCAAACAAATATACCATGTTAACCTTTTAAAGGTTATAGATAGTTTGGTGGAGTGCGAAAAATTTTTGGAACATTGTTCGGCAGATCTCAACCATTTTTACGTCGAATTTTCACAATATTATTTTTTTAAAGTAGATAGACATATAGAATTTGTGAAAAATTGGTCGACGAAAAATGGAAAGGAGATCAAAATTTTAAACATTACATGGTATAACATTAACTTAGAATGGTGGAGATAAATTTATATAAATGTAAATAAAATATTATTTCTATTTTTATTTTTATTAAAGATTATATAAGTTTTAAAGATTATCTATTATTACAATTGTTCAAATATATAAACCGAATGTCCACAAATGAAATATTTTAAAATTTATTCTTTCCTTTAAGATCACCACCTAAACCTTCGTATGCCTTTTTTAACTCCTGTTCATCGACCAAACTTTGAATTTTACTGAAATTTTTACATGCTCGCATAGATACACCATAATAAGGACCTGCATGAAATGATAAACTTAATTTAGGAACAGATACCGAAAGAGAACATTTTTGATCTTCGGGACCATCACATTTAACCACTTCAAATGAACTTTTTGTAGGATCTGATATCCACAATTCGTTTTGATGTTGTTTATAACCAATAAATCTTGGAGGTAACCGGGCAATCGAATCACCTCCATTTACAGTTCTTGATACAGTTAATTTACTATTAACATGATCAGCAAATTCCGAATTACCAACTCTTGGTTCACCGTATGTAAAAACGAACAGATTATTTTTATCCTTACTGAAATCTTTTGAGTTTTGTGAAAGATCCAAAGCTGATAATAAAGTGAGCGCTAAATAAAAAGGAACATGTGTCGAAGTTAAAAAGGTGGAGATAAAAAAAAAAAAAAAAAAATTTTTTCGGTTTATGCAACTTACCACCACCTAAACTATGCCCTGAAAAAACGACCTTGTACTTTGGATTTTTTTTATGTAATTTTTGGATTTCATTGAAAACGTCAGATTGAACTTCAAGAAAAGCTTGATAAAATCCAATATGAACCTTAGCATCTTTTACAGGTGGATAATCGGTTAAAATGAGTTTTGCATCGGTAATTAGATTTTTGACATTTTCAGGTACGGTTCCTCTATACGATACGACAATCAATTTTTCTTTATCAAGGGTTGCTATAAAAACTGTGTTTATCAGAGAAGTTAGCGCAGTTTCGGTTAACGTTGTGAGCTCTCATCCAATAATATAAATAAATACCTTGTATTTCGGATTTTGTGGTAATGAATTTACTGACTTTGGTGCCTTTGGTTGCATCACAGATAGGCCCACAATCCCATTTGAGGAAATCGGAAGGTTTACAATAAGCAGCACTAGCGTAATTGGCAAATCTCTCTAATTCCTTTAATTCTTGAACCGAAACTTTATTATCTCTTTTAGAAGGGGGAGCTGCTTCGATTAATGTTGATAAAAAAAGAATTAAAGAAAGTATAAAGACGATGAGTATGCGAGTTGATTTGGAAAAGGATTGAGAGGAGATGATGTGGTTGGTGTGCTGCATTATGTTTCTATTTTATAATAGGAATAATGAATGAATTATTTGTGAAAGAAGGAAAGTGGTGGTTGGGAACTTAAGGATAAAAAAAAATGTTTTTAATGTATTTTTGAAACTACATCCCTTCCTCTTAAATATATATATATATTTTTTCTATCTAATAATACTGATTATGTAACATCATGGATGTTTTACAGTTTCGAGCCTGATTGGTTTCAATTTTATTATTCTAAAAGAAAATCGCTTAAAACCCAAATTTAGCTTATCGTTACAAAAATTGTCGGAAAATATTGAAATTAATTTAATATCTCGGACATCATTTGCATGTTAAATGAAATGAAAATCCGATTCTCCCTGAACTTGTTAAATATCCCGATACTGATTTATTCAAATTAACTGTACAACATAAGTAACTTTGCTAGGAAAGTCAGGCTCTGGAAATTTTTTTGACTAAATTTAAGACCTAACTTATTACATTTCCTAGCAATCTTCCCATGTAGGTTTAGGCCGAATACATGCATGCATATGCCAGATTGGTAACATTCATTTTTAGTTTTTTTTTTTGTTCGGCCTATTTGGGAATTTGGTTAAAATAAAATAAGGAACAATCAAAATTCTCGTTTGAGAGTTCCCAAAATTGTCTTTAAATAAAATGATAACTATCAAAACATTAAGAATTAGCGGATTCAATGAAAAAAAGGGTTGCATGATATTTCAACAAGATATGGCGGTGGAAATATAATTAGACGATGATAATATATATTTTTTAAATTAGATGAGAACTGAAGATTTCAGATTAATTTTATTTGAAATTTTAAAATTTTAAAATTTTGCTTTATTCCTTAATTTAGCTAACGCGTGGTTGTATGATTTTGGAAATTTACTGTATTCAAATCTATTTGAATCTATTTTTAGATTGGTTTCTTTTTATTTTCTAAAAGTGTGCATGAAATGTCAAATAAACTTTATACAATTCATTAAATTATTTCTTTACTTCCTTACTTGCAACTTTGTTTTTTGATTCGTTTGTCTACAAATAGCATTATTATTATTTATAAAATTACATAATCTGTATTTTTTTACTCAATAATTATTTTTAAAAACCAAAGCACTCTTTCAAATAATAAAATTATCGACTATAAATTAAAAATTAAATCTCTATGAATTTATCAATAATTTCAAATTTATTTATATTTTTTAAAATACCTTAACTTATAAACCTTAAAATTGTTTTTTTTATAATTCTTAATATTTTTTAAAAATCTAAAAAATAATAATAAAATTTTTAATTTCAATTTTTTTAGATTATTCATAAAAGTATTTTATTAAAATAATTAGAAAAAAAATATTATAAAATGAATTTAATCATATAGTTAACCTCTATATAATTACTTTTTTATATAATCACTTCTTTTTTATAAACACATTATTATCAAACTAAGTTAATAATGAACTTATTAAAAAAATACTCTTTTATAATCATATAGTTTTTTAATAATCATATTAATTTTTTTTGATTCTGATTATACAGAAAATTGACTGTATATAAATAATTAGATATTTATTATTAAAATAAAATTTTCATATTAAATATTACTTATAATTACCATTATATTAATTTTTCACATATAATTACTTATTTTTTGATCTCATATATAGCTGAAAAATCATTAATTTTATAAAACTATTTGAAATATAATAATAATTTAATAATTTGTATTAATACTAAATGTTGTGCTTTATTTACATTTTTATTTGATTAATATTTGACTAATATTTCTATTTCATTTTATAAAAAATAATTTTTAATAAAAATATTAATAACACTTAAAAGTAATATTAATAATATTATTATTACAGTTTTTATAAAAATTTTTAAAATTTTAATTTTTAATATGTTAAATCATAATTTTTTAATAAACTAAATATTATTATATTATTCAATTAAATTTAATACCTAAAGAAATATAAAAAAAAATATGATAGTTCTGAACAATAAATTTAAAAAATTTTAATAAATGTTTATTTACATATTTAATTAATTTACATAATTAGTTGAATTTTTTAACGTTAATGTTACATTTTTAATAAGAATTAGAAGATAAGTGTTATCTTATTTATGTTTAATAGATTAATATTGATATTTACAATTATTTTATATTATAAATAAATCATCTGTTTATTAAATATAACATTAGATTTAATAAAATTATGAATACTTATTAATCATATTAAATGATTAATAATATTACAATCTTTAAAATTCAAATTAGAATTAATATATATATATATATTATATATTATTATATTGTATAATCCTTTTCCTAACTTTATTATTAAATACTAATTATTATTATATATTTTTATATATTAATTAATACAAATAAATAATCATACTTAACATTATTAGAATGTTTAATTAAGTATTTTAAATGATTTCAAAATATTAAATAATATAAAATTAATATTAATACTACATATAAATCTTTTAATTTCTTCTATATAATTTTTTTCTTAATTAATTCAAGTATTATTCTACTATTATTCATTTCAATTATCTAAGAAGTTTTTAATCTTTTAATATCATTATCTTTTAAATAATACAATAAAATTAATCTGATTTAAACTTTGCAAAAATATTTAAGAATATCTGTTTTAATAATAGATGAATTAAATATAAATTTGATTTTATCAATTTTTAATTAAACTTTTAAATTGAGAAATATTAAATTTATAACTCTAATTTTTTCAAATATTTTCTTATTAAAATATAAAATCTAATAATAATACTTTATATATATAACTATTAAATTTTCTTACTTCTATTAAAATTATTCTAACTGATTAAATAATATTTTATTATTCTATTCAACAATTTTATTTAAATAATTATGAACTTATAAAATTTAATAAATAAACTAACCTATATATTATTAGATTTGTCTATATTTATATAGTGCAGAACCTCTATAATAAAAACTTTATTATAGTAAAAGTAAAATAAATTTAAAATGCAAAAAAAAATTTATTTATATAAAATTGAAAATTTAATTCATAAAATAAATAAACTTTAAACTGTATTTTAAGAATCTTAGATTAAACTTTTAATATCTTCAATATTAATAAATTATATCAGATTAAATTTATTCAAAATTAATTATAAAACTGAAATTAAAAAAAATATGTAATTACAAATTTATAAAAATAATTCTTTTATCATTTATATATTTTAACTTAAATATTATTGTAATTGAATTATATAAAGATGTATTAGAATATAATAAAAGAAATACATAATATTATAATTACACATAGGTTAGATTATAATAATTATTCCTAAAGCATTAGATTCAATTCCTTTAATTACAATTCAAAAATATGCATACAAATCATAGTAGTATATAAATATTTATAAAAAAGATATTACTAAAAATGGTAAAGTTTGCAATTAAAAATATAAGTTTCATCATTATATATCTGATGTAATTTATAATAAAATAATAAAATAAAATAAATTAAATTATTTTATACAATTTTAATTCTAGTTTCTGATTAGCTCATATATTGTTATATGATGCTTACATAATTTACAAATTAAAAAAAAAACATTTTTTATAAATTAATTCATTTTTACAAATATAAATATTTTTTTATTTGATTAAAATCCAATCAGTGAATTAAATTTTATT